ATGTTTTGGATTGTTGGGTGTTTCTGTTTCTGCCTTTGTTAAGCGCTATGAGATGACTTGTTGTTGTAAATATGCGCTATACAAATAAAAATGAATTGAATTGAATTGAATTGTAATTGTAATTATCGTTTTGAGCTCAGACTTTGTAAAGTTTTCTGATGATGCTGCAGATGAGCAGGTCAAGAACAGAAAGGTGAAAATCCAACTATCACTTCTGCTTCTACTTGTGAAAATGTGTTATTTTGGCACTTATTAAAAGGTGAACATGACTTTCATAGCTGGTGGTGGGTTTTGGGGTTCAGAAGGTTGAACAGACACAGAAACAGTGAAATAATTCAATTATTATAATGCAAGAAACACAGAAATCACCAAAATAGGAGCTGATGTATGGAAATGTAGAAACAAATTCAAAGCTTTACTTCCCTCATGTACTTTACATTAGCATATTTGATGCATTTAATTATTCATATTTTAACCATTTTGCATTCGATGTAGACTAATATTCCTATCACAAGCGATTAAGAAACTAAATTAAAACTTGAGACTAATGTGGGGGTTTTGAAATGTGTATGTACACACTGTGTGTAGTTTTTAACCCTCGTGTTGGGAAGTGAAGCGGTTCACTGCTCCATCTGTGATAATATAGACGTCCAGTATGACTTGTATTCTGGAGAAAACTGTAAAATGCTCTCTCGGGGGGAAACAGTGTGTGATTCCTTTAAAACATAAGATGATAAATTGCGAATAACAAATGCCATTATTCTGCTGGAAAGTTTAATTAAAGAGTGCAGCTGCAATACATCACACTTTCTCACACTTTGTCCGCTGAAACCTGAAGACACAGCAAACGCTCGACCGTAACATCGACTAAGAGCTGCATTTATTTTCCTCTTTATAAAGCCAGGTGGATGCAGAAGCACCTCCAATCTGTATTTCAGCACAGTCATCGAGCGTATGTGCTTATTTCTATTCCGCATCCGGACTGAGAGCAGCGTTTTGGGAGCTCAGCCAGGCGAGAGATGACTAAAGCTTTTTACAAGAAGTCTCCGGCCAATCTGTAAAAAAAAAAAAAAAATCTGCAGGATCTTTGTGCCGAGATGTGGAACGTGGCAGGGGAGAGCCACGCCGTCGTCTGAATGCTGAGGAGGCCCCGTTTTTGTCTCCGCTTTAACGTCCATCCATCCATCCATTCATCTTCTCCCGCTTATCCGGAGTCGGGTCGCGGAGGCAGCAGCCTTAGCAAAGCCGCCCAGACTTCCCGATCCACACACACCTCCCCCAGCTCTTCCGGGGGGACCCTTAGGCGTTCCCAGGCCAACTGGGAGACATAGTCCCTCCAGCGTGTCCTGGGTCTTCCCCGAGGTCTCCTCCCGGTGGGACGCGCCTGGAGCACCTCCCCAGGGAGGCGTCCACGAGGCATCCGGAAAAGATGCCCGAGCCACCTCAACTGGCTCCTTTCAATGTGGAGGAGCAGCGACTCTACTCTGAGCTCCTCCCGTGTGACTGAGCTCCTCACCCTATCTCTAAGGGAGCGCCCAGCCACCCTGCGGAGGAAACTCATTTCGGCCGTTTGTATCCGTGATCTCGTTCTTTCGGTCATCATTCGTTCCCTCTAAGACAGGAGTATGGTTCGCATTGCCGGTTATAAGTCAGACCTGTTCCCAGTGCGCGTTGGCCTCCGCCAGGGCTGCCCTTTGTCACCGGTTCTGTTCATTATTTTTATGGACAGAATTTCTCGGCGCAGCCAGGGGGAAGAAGGGGTTCAGTTTGGGAACCACAGAATTTCATCTCTGCTGTTTGCAGATGATGTTGTTCTGTTGGCTTCATCAAACCAGGACCTTCAGCGTGCACTGGGGCGGTTTGCAGCCGAGTGTGAGGCGAGCGGGATGAGGATCAGCACCTCCAAATCCGAGGCCATGGTTCTCGACCGGAAAAAGGTGGCTTGCCCTCTCCGGGTCGGTGGAGACTCCTTGCCTCAAGTGGAGGAGTTCAAGTATCCCGCTTTAACGTGTTGCATGAAAATAATCTGAAGTTTACACCTGATGTGCAGATGAGAGAGAACCTGATGAAGTCATGAAATGTATTAAAACGTCCCCTGCAGGTGTGGAAGTGAACCAGTGTTTGAGATAATTCCTACAAGACCGAGCGTACATCTGCTTTTCATTCCTGTTTTGCAGCCCCGAGCTTCAGATTGAATCCCAGAAGTTGCCAAGTTTGCAGAGATTTAAGCTCCGTAGAAAAGCATTTATCACCGCGAACGTGAAGAATGTGTTGAGCTCTCCAGCTTTTCACGCCTGCCAGGAAACTTAAAGACATAATGAAGACTAATTGTATCAGCAGGTTGTGTCACACACGTTCTGCTACTGCGGGACAAAAAAAGAAAATAAAAAAGGAGATTCTCACCACCAGCACCAGAATCATGGGACCCTGGTAGATGTAATCGGTGTAGACGCCGGCCCGCTTCCCGAACCAGCACCTGAAACGCCAGCAAGAGGCCATCAGTCAGGATTAGCTCCAACATTCATCTCCTCCCTGCCGTTAATTTACCAATTTGTGCTCAGCGGTTTAAACACATGTTTTCCAGTCAGCAATTGGCCCAAAATATGAATTATAGACAATTACAGGTTTAGCCAGCGGCGGGAAATAGCTGCTGTCAGAAGTGTAACCTCAGAATGAATCACCTTGTGCATGTTGAGTTGCATCTTTGTTTGATCCTTTGTGGGTGTTTTGTGTCTCTGTTTTTTTTTTTTTTGTCAAACATTCTGCACGTTTTTGTATTTGTTGTGAGTCTCTTTCTAGTCATTTTGCTTCTTTCTGTAGTCGTCTCTTTGTGGTGGTTCTGAAACACTGTAAAGTCTATTTGCATCTCTTTCTTTTCATTTTGGTTTGTATTTTGCATTTCTTTGTATTTGTTTTGCATCTTTTCATATTTGCTTTAAGTTTCTCTCTCTGATTTGCATCTGGTTTTGTGGTCATTTCGTCTTTTTTGTGTCTCTTTGTGCTCATTTTGTGTCTCCTTGCAGATGTTGTGTGTGTTTTTGTAGTCGCCATGCATCTCTCTGGAGTCCTTGAAACAGTTTACAGCCAGTTTGCATCTCCTCACTTTCATTTTGCATCTTTTTGTGTCTGTTGAACGTCTTTTTGGTTTGGTTTCGTATTTCTTCACATTTGTTTTAAGTCTCTTTGTAGCTTATTTGCATCTTCTTTGTGTTTGCTTGTCTTTGTTATTACTTTGTGTTTATTTGTGGGTGTTTTGTGTCTCTTTTGTGCATTTTTTTGTGAACATTCTGCACATTTTTGTATTCGTTGTGAGTCTCTTTCTAGTCATTTTGCTTCTTTCTGTAGTCGTCTCTTTGTGGTAGTTTTGAAACACCGTAAAGTCTATTTGCATCTTTCCTTTTTATTTTGGTTGTTTTTCATTTCTTTTTGTTCGTTTTGCATCTTTTCATATTTACTTTAAATCTCTTTGTGATCATTTTGTGTCTATATGTCTCTGATTTGCATCTGGTTTTGTGGTCATGTCGTTTTTTGTGTCTCTTTGCAGATGTTCTTGTTTTTCTGGTGCATCTCTGCAGCCCTTGCCGTCTCTTTGTGGTTGATTACAGCTGATCTGCATTTCCTTGCCTTTGTTTAATATCTCTTTGTGCTCATTTTGTGTCTCCTTGCAGATGTTGTGTGTGTTTTTGTCGTCGCCATGCATCTCTCTGGAGTCCTTGGCTGCAAAACCTATGCAGAGGCCTTGGCTTTGCATCTCTTTGTATTTGTTTTTGTGTCTCTTTATAGTCATTGTGTCTCTTCATCGACGTTCTGACAGTCTTTGTTGTCACTTTCTATCTCTGGAGTTGCTGGCATTCATTTGTTGTGGTTTAAAGCTGACTTGCATCTTCTTATCCCCATTTTGCATCTATTCTTTGCATTGCTTTTGCATCTCTTCATCTTTGTTTTGAGTCTCTTTGTTGTCATTTTGTGTGTCTCTTTGTAGTTTAAGTACATCTCTTTACCTTTATTTGAAATGTGCATCTTTTTGGGGAAACAGTTTACAGCCAGTTTGCATCTTTTTGTGATTCGTTTAACGTCTTTTTGGTTTAGTTTTGTATTTTTTCATATTTGTTTTAAGTGTCTTTGTAGCTTATTTGCATCTTCTTTGGTTTTGCTTGTCTTTGTCATTACTTTGTGTTTATTTGTGGGTGTTTTGTGTCTCTGTTGTGCATGTTTTTGTCAAACATTTTGCACATTTTTGTATTTGCTGTGAGTCTCTTTCCAGTCATTTTGCTTCTTTCTGTAGTCGTAGTCGTCTCTTTGTGGTAGTTATGAAACAGGGTAAAGTCTATTTGCATCTTATCTTTTCATTTTGGTTGTTTTTCATTTCTTTGTGTTCGTTTTGCATCTTTTCATATTTACTTTAAATCTCTTTGTGATCATTTTGTGTCTATATGTCTCTGATTTGCATCAAGTTCTGTTGTCATTTTGTTTTTTTGTGTCTCTTTGTGCTCATTTTGTGTCTCCTTGCAGATGTTGTGTGTGTTTTTGTAGTGTTTTTGAGAATATTTACATCACTTTGCATTAGTTTTGCATCTGTTCCTGTTTGTTTTAAGCCTGTTTGTAGCTGATTTGCATCTTCTTGTGGTCATTTTTTGCAGATGTTCTGCATGTGTTTTTAGTCATGTTGCATCTCTGTAATCACTGATCTCTCTTCCTTGTGGTTTGTAGCTGATCTGCGCCTTCTTGTGTTATTTAGCATCTTTTCTTTAGGTTTGTTTTGAGTCTCTTTGAGGCCGTTTTACGTCTCTTTGCAGACACAGCCACCAGTTTTTGGCGGCTACAGAGTGCGAAACATCCACTGAAGAAGCCAGCTGTTGCGTTTTGGATTAATCCGGATGCAGAATTGTTGTTCTTCAAGTCAGTCAGATTTAGCAGGAACCCTTCAGAACAGGTTCAACATCTTCGGCGTCGCTGACTAATTTCCAGAGTTGATTAGGTGGAACGAATAAATAAATGAATGAATATTGTATTTTTCATGTTTGCTCATTTACATAGCCCGCCCCTCGTGGGAATATTTAGACACATTAATGCAAAACAAACCAAACACGCTGCTGCAGACGACGACGCAGGAGACGATCCCTTCTACAAATCCACCCTGCTCTGGTAAACCTAATGCTTCAGATGCCCGTTTATCTCCAGCAGACAAATCCCAAAGGAAATATTTCACCAACTGGAAGTAAAAATGTCACTTTGTCAGATCTCACTCTGACCTGCTGATATGGACACACAGATTTACTGTGCCACCAAATCCCCCCCCTACACATTTCTTATCTCGGCGTCCAAGGTTGCTTCGTTTTGGCCTGACAGGTCTCCAGCTGTTACCCACTGATTCTGTAAATCCAAAAAACATGCACAGAGCTGAACTCTTTAAGATACCAAAACTATGTAAATATATACAGCGGTGTTACTTGAGCAGAATAAGAGCGAGACACGAGAGCGAATAAGCCAGTCAGCTCAAGTTAATGCAAGCGTAGAGGCAGGTTTCATCACTTGTCTAAAGTAAATCAGACTTCAGTGGAGAAGCCTGGTGCCGTTTGGTATTTCATATATTGCCAATAACCCGCATAAAAACAACAACGACTCATCCTGCAATATCTTCTTTTCTGCTGTCTCGTCTTATTCTCGGCTTCGACCCTGCAGGTTCCTGCTGAACACGTAAATATTTAAAAGCGGGTCGCAGGTATAAAGTTTCATTTCAGCCGGTCGCTGCAGTTTTCATCAAAAGTTACCTAAACGAGATTAAATAGAGGATTTGTTGGGAACTGCTTTCAGCCGCGAGACGATGATATGGACTTCTGCGTCCATAATATTGATGTGTTTTAGATGCCATATGCTTAAGAGCTGCACGTTTAAAGCTAAACATTATTGTCTGTGTGCATGAAAGAATTATGGAAAAAAATCAGACATAATCAGACAGAACAACCACAAACTGTATCTTGCTGATCTGTCGGCAGTTTTGCATCTCCGTGCGTTTGTTTGTCGTCTCTTTGTTTGATTGTTTATGTCACGTCTGTCAAGTTCCTGTTCATGTCTGCACATTTGATGTCTTTCCTGTTTTATTTTGAAATCTGTGTCCCAGGTGTACTTCCTGTCACCTGCTCCCTGATGGCTTCCCCTCACCTGTTCCCCATCTCCCCTCATTACCTCGTGTTTATTACCTTGTGGGTTTCACAGTCTCGTTGCACTTCACAGTCTTCGTACCAGCATCATTCATAGTCATCGTCATAGCCTGCTTCGTATCGACCTTGCTTCTGTTTTTGGATCTTGCCTCTTGCTTTTTGGATACTTCTGCCTGTTGTGATCGACCTTCTGTGTACCGAACACTGACCGGTAATAAACCTGCCTTTTTGCCTGAACCCTATCATTTATGTCCGACGATTCTGATCTGAGTGAGTTCTTGACAGTTTATAGGTGTTTTGTGTCTCTTTGTCTCTCTTTATTGCTAGAATTGTTGTAGCTGTTTCTCTGTTTCTGCATCTCTTTGCAGTTGTTTTTAAAATGCTTCCAGCTGATTTTCATCTCCTTGTCTTCATCTTGGATCTTTCTGTGATTGTTTTAAACCTCCTTTGCATTAGTTTCACGTTTCTTTGTAGCCTTTTGTAGTCGATCTCTATTGCTTTGAGCGTTTTTGTGGTTGTTTTGAGTCTTTCGGTCGTCACTTTGAATTTGTCTGTGGTCTCTTTGCATCTCTGCAGTCGTCACTATGTAGCTGTTTTGAGTGTCTTTGTAGCTTTTCTAAATGCATTTGTCTAAATTTTGCAGATTTGTTTTTATTTTTTGTTTCTTTGTAATCATCTGAAGTTATTTATGTTTCTTCTCATCTCTTTGCAGTCGTTTTGAATTTTTCTGGTGTTTCTTGTCTCTCTTTGTGGTCATTCTTTGCTTCTTTTTTGGTAATTTTGCAGCCGTTTTGCATCTTTGTAGTTGTTTTCTGTTTGTTTGGGATCATTTTGTGGTTGTTTGTAGCTTTGCATCCCTGTAGTTGTATGTTTCTTTGTGGTCATTTGTTGTTTCTTTTTGCATATCTTTGTAGTTCTGTTTGTGTTTTGTTTCTTTGGGGTCATTGTGCTGTTGTTTGTAGTTGTTTTGCATCTGTTTTGTCATTTGGTGTTTCTTTTGCATATCTTTGTAGTTGTTTTGTTTCTTTGGGGTCATTGTGCTTTTGTTTGTAGTTGTTTTGCATCTGTTTGTTTCTTTGTGGTCATTTGTTGTTTCTTTTTGCACATCTGTAGTTGTTTTATATCTCTGTAGCTTTTCTGTCATTGTTTTGTGTCTCTTTTGTGGAATATTTTACGTTTTCCGGCTGCTCTGTGGAACAAATAGCTGTTTCAGCACCAAACAACAGGTTGGTGGAGACCAAAAACAGAGCTAATAGAAGGTTAATATTGATCTTATATTGCTCAGGTGAACATAAAATGACTGAAAATGTTCCACTGCGCCTGTCTGATTTGTAGCTCGACAAGTGCTAGTTGAGTCGCTGTAAAATAAATCTATTAACGCAGCTTTCAGGTTTCTTGTATTTGTTCTGCTGCATGTCTGTATTTGTATCCCGCTGTAGTCTTGTTCTCTGCAGCTTAAGGAAACCGGAGCCACATTTCTTATATGTGTCAACCTACTGGGCCATTAAATTTGATTCTGAGACGTTTGGTGCTTCAGTGAGCTTCTGCAGCAGCAGGATGCTGAACTGTATGTGGGATTAAATCAAAATAAACAGGAACATGTCAGTCACAGTTTTTAATAGTTTCTCCACAACAGCTGAGCTCTTCGGCACAGAGGAATAAAATATGAGGCTTTCAATGCTCCGATTTCTGTCTTTTCAGTGGGTTTGCCGACGATTGAAAGAAGACAGACTTTGCCATTTATTCGGGGCACATTTCTAACATCGCTGAATTAATTTTCACCTTTCTACCATGCAAGAAGAGAGCGAGCGCTCCCGAGCTGAGGGAGACCGGCGGCAGGGTTAATGTGTAATTAAGAGTATGTGATTGTGATTACGGCAGGTTAATAATAGACATTCATCTCCTTAATGTAACACAGTTTGTCCTTTTGTAACCGCGGAACAGAGAAGTGCTGTAAAGTCAACAAAGCTCTTACTTCTCGTTGTCGTAGTACAGCTTTCCAATGGCCCACGCCACAATTATAGGGAATGGTATACCTGTGAGGCAGAAAAACAGGGAAAAAAAAAGACAAAGTGACAGATTCTTCTTTCATCTTTCTCTGCTATTCAAATCACAAAATATCACCCCGGGGGGATTTCATGCCGGAGTATGAAATCCCTGTGTGTGTGTTTTTTTGTCCTGCACGGCACCAGCGCCTGCCAAGCTCTGTCAAAAGCAATTGTTGCTCGTGCGCTGTGATCCACCGATGCAAGCCAAGACGTGTCACCATCTGAATGATTCTTTTGTGAATGAATGAAAAGCTGGACTCCGGCTGACGATAATGCAGAGCGATCCCCTGATTTACTGACTTATAGAAGTTTAATAAAGCGGACAAACAGCCGTTACTCACATCTAAACGATACTAACAGCAGCATCGAAAGGCCTTCTGAACCTCGCGCCTCTGGAAAGTTTCCACTTCATTAGCCGTTTACCGTCATCAGCGCGAGGCCGACCCTGGGGAAGATCTAATCCTGCAACCCCTGGATTAGTTGAAAAAATGTCGTTTTGCTCGTTGTTTTCACCTCTTGTCCGCACCTCGCCGGCTCCATGATAACATTTGAGAGTCGAAGCTGAGCGGAGCACAGAAAATGTGATCTTATTTATTTTTCCTTTGAAACGCGCTGCCATCTCCGCTTCACGCAGAGGCTTCACACTGGCCCTCGGGGAAATGTAATCCAGCTGGCACAATACACCTAATCTCAGCAGCACATACTTTAGTTTGACAGCGCGAAACAGGGTGTTAGTGAACTCCGCACCAATACGTTTCCCAGCTGCCACTCGACATCCTGCGATCTCCATCAAGTCAACTCCCAGCCATTGTTGGCCAAAACTCTATCTGACCTTCGGTTTCTTCTTCTGGGATTAAATGTATTCAAACTGACTGGAACCGTTTGAGCCGCGCATTCTGAGAAACATATAAAAATACAGATAATATGCAATACAGTGTCTTGCCAATTTAATAAAGAAGTTTATCAGAGCGAGAAACTGAAAAAACAGAATTTTAAACCTTTTCAACAGGAAGTGGAGGACTCGTCTCAAAGAATATTTGGATTTTTAAAAAACTTTCTGCACCTCTTTGGAAACAGCACAACCTCGGCTAGAAGCAGGGAGAACTCAGAAACGTCTTTGGTGGTGTTATAATACCATAAAGCAGCCAAAAAAGGGAACAAAAATAATTTCAACAGGTACAACATTTTTCCATGTGACTTCATGTTTTACCCGCTTGACTGTTTCAGTTTAAAGATTTAAGTTTACCAACACCTCGAGTGCTCATATGGCCAAAATTACCCCTTTTATCAGTCGGAAACTGCAAAGACAGAAGAAAGTGAAGTGCTCATTTGAAAGAATCACTGGATTTCTAACTTTCAGATGGCCCTTGAATGGATGGAAGGAAATGAACCACATGTGAGCTTATAGTTCTGATATTTCATCAAATTCACATTATTCTGCATGTCAAATAAAAAATAGAAGAAGAAGCCCCAAATAGGTTATTTACACCAGATCCTTTTAAAAAAAACATCCCCTTCCCTCCAACTAAGAAACCATGATTGACTTATTCAGCTGAACTCCAGGCTGTGTTTATACAGAGGAGACGAACATGGAAATAAATGACCGTAATTTCCAGATTATTGAGCACACCTGAATATAAGCCACACCCACTAACTTTAAACAGAAGAAGAATGTGTTCATATATGGGCCACACTTGTCTACAAGGTGTCCACTTTGTAACATGAGATATTTGCACAGAAAGATTTTTTAACTTTTAATTAAATACGTACCGTAAATGCTTTTTTCCAAACAGTGCCTGTAACACGGCTGGTTGAAGAAATTTTAAAAAGCATCCTACCAGGAAAAGTCATTGATCACTATAGTCATCTTCCTCCTGCACTAAAACCACTAAAGTCGTCTTCTTCAGTGTCGGAGTTGAACAGCCTCAGAGTTACTTCATCACTTCCTCAGTCTCTCTGTCGTCGTCGCTCTCAATGTCACTTTGGTCTCGAGGCAAATTCGTAAAAATCCATAGATTAGCTGCATCGTTGTTTAAGCCGCAGCGGTCAAAGCTTGTAGCGGCTTATAGTCCGGAAATTAAGGTAAAGAGACAAAAAATTTACTAAAACCTACTTGATTAGTAAAAATAACTGCAGCATGTCTCATATGCAGTCTACAGAGGAGCAACTTATCAGCAAGTAGTTGGAAGATCTACATTCAACATGCTGAAACATGTTTCTAGAGCTGAAAATATCCAAAGCATGTGGAGCCTAAACTGGTAATACATGGAGCCACATGGAGTACAATATCTTACCAATTTAACAAAGAAATTCATCAGAAACTGTGAAACACAACTTTGAAACAGAAAATGAAGCACTCATTTCAAACAGTTGTTGGATTTCCAACTTTCAGATGGTGCTTGAATGGATCCGTAAACAAAATGAACCACACCTAAGCTTAAAACTTACTCACTTTCATGTGCGTGCCTTATGTATGGGGAAAAAAAGCTATTTACATCAGATGCTGTGAAAACAAAACAGAAACCATGATCCTGTCACGTGACAAAAATTCTATGATTATTCGGCTTAACTGTAGGCTAGAGGCGGTTGGAGGCAAGTATGGAAACAAATGAAAGAGAATAAAATAGAACCTAATTGATCAGTATAATAAATGAAACGTGGCTCAAAAGCAGCATACGGAGGATCAGGTAACTGGACGATACATCCCACATGGTGACACATCTTTCTGGAGTTGATGTACAGAGTGGTGTAAAAAAAACACGTCTGGTTTCTAGAGATGTAAAATAGTGAAATATTTACAGCACGTGGAGCTTCCTTCTGTTGATCTAATGTCTGTACGTCGGGTCCAGACATTTCGTATACAGACAGACTCTAGTGACCATCTGAACTCTGAGCAGTTTCGGGGCATTTTTTTTGCTCCTGTCACATTTTTCCTCACTGTGGGCTCATTTCTCACTGTCATATTAAGTCGTGTTCTTCTTTGGAAACAGCAGCAGCATGGCCAGGAGCAGAGAGAACTCACATACGTCTGTAGTGCAGCTATAATGTCATAAATCATACAAAAAGAAAGAAAATGAAAGCTGAATTTCAACATGTTTTTCCAACTGGACCAGTGTGTTACCAATTCAGGATGAACAAAAGAGTTGTATTTACATTTTTAACCCTCTACAATGTTCTTCACATTATTCTGCACATCAGTTCTAGAAAGATGTTTCACTATGATGACTATGGCTTCTAAAAACCTGCTGTTTGAGCGATGCTGCATTGATTGTGACGATCAACAGGTTTTATTTTGTATTCAATCGCTCTTATTTGTTTGCCTATTCCCTTTGTATAAACACTGCCTCTGTCACTGCTGGTTGCAACAGTGCCAATCATGACTTCTCAGTTGCACCCACGATCAGAATTTGTTTTTATTGTTTTACAGGATCTGCTGCAAACGGCTAATTTTTTGGCGATTTTTCAAAAAAAAACACGCAGAATAAAGTGAGCTCGAGGAAATACCACAATTTTAAGCACAGACGTGGAATTTTTACTGACGAAAAAACTGGAGTTTAAAATCAAACGATTCTTTGAGATGAGCAGTTCAGTGTCCGTTGGAAAGTTGAAAGTACTTTTACAGTTTCAGGTTCCGATAAATAAGGAAATTTGTCCATGTTGTGAAAGTAAACACGCCTTTCAGACCTGATGAATGGTTTTGGGGTTCGGAGGTTAAAAGCAGTGAGACAACATGAGCAGTAGAGGTGTTTAGTAGGTGCATTGTTAAACTTTGGACAGAACCACTCAAGCTGTTTACATCCACTCTATATGCTAATGTAGGCTAACTGCTTTTGGGCTTTTGCACCACAATCAGATATGGAAAATTAGCATTTTGGCTAAATTTGTGTTGGACTCTCCATTCACTTTATTCCAAATCGCTGGAGGGTTATCTAAATTAATCTGACAATGAATTTACCCGCACTGCTTGCTAAACAAATAATTTTGCAAAAGGGTTTATGCTAAGCTAAGCTAACAAGCTCCTGGATCTACTAATGTCCAGCTATTCTTTTATGGTCTTCATTCGACTGCAGCCGTGTGATTCGTGCACAAAGAGGAACATGGAGTGTACGTACACCAGCCGATGCAGATGAACATCCACTTGCGGAGCTTGTCGGTGGAGTAGGTGAGGACGATGGCGGTGTGGAGGTAGCAGCCCTCTCCGAACATCCAGAAGAAGTTGGTGGAGTGGAAATAGTTGAAGGAAGCGGTGACGAGACGACACCAGATCTGTAAAAATGAAAAAAAACCAGAACTGATTTTAAAGTTACATTATCAACATCTGGACAGGAGTTTGTCCTTAGTTTGGACTTCAAGTGAATTACAAACACTCTGATGTCAAAACTAGGACTATGTTTGCTGATCATTGATCCTTCATGGAAGACAAATTAAAGTGAACAGTCTACAGACTTTAAAGCCTGTTTAAAGAGTATTCACAGTATTCCATTTTCTTTTTTCTTTTTTCTTTATGGCAACACTTTTTAACACATTTTTCTTTAATTGGAGACCCTCAAGTTTATTTTCCAGCTGCAAATAACAAATAATTTTGCACTAGTTCCTTTTTCTTTTATTTTTTTAATTCATACTGCAAGATTTTAAAGTCAAATTTCTGATTAAATTGGACGGAAAAAGAACTATTTAAATTTTTTTTAGTGGAGAATTTTAATGAATTAAACAACAATTTTCATCCAACTAAAGCCTCATTTACACGGGACCAGTATGACCTGGGGACATGTAGTCATTTGTAGTAATTGCAGAGGTCGTCTGTCATATTGTACTTATTGTATTGTATTGTTTTTATTAAGGCACTATTCAATTACTTGTTTACTTTAACTGTTTTGCTTGCTTTAACTGTACTCTGGCAAAACAATTTCCTTCGGGATGAATAAAGTTTATCTTTATCTTTATCTTTATCTTTTATCATCTTAATCCTCTGTGAATCTGCCACGCCGGTAATTTGGGGAAGCAAAAATTCCAACGTAAATTTCTGTGTTTATTGTATTTTGTCAAACACAGGCGTGTATGAATACATTAAAAATATTCATGTATGAGGTGATACATGTAGAATATTCTGTACAATATTAACAGAATCTCTGCAATATCAGTGTTTTTATTATTAGTATTTCTTAATGGGAGAATCTGTGCAATACCAACATCTTTCTACACATAGAATAACCTCCTGCAATATTGTTTTTTTCCCCACATTTAAAAGAAATCTGTGTAATATCTGAATTTCCAGTACTTATGTGTATTTTATTTTATTTTATTTTGGTGTTGATGTCCCTATTTGTTTTTTTCATTGCCATTTGCTGGTCTGACCCTGTCAATTTAATTATCTTAATATTGGTTCATGCAAATCAGCATCTCTGTGATTTGGGGTCATTTTTTGGTTTTCTTTGCACATTTCTTCGATCTTTTTCCCACTTATGAAGACCATCTTGGGAATTATAAATTACAGTTCGCCAGTACGGAGACCCAATCACAGAATGTAAGAAGCAACATTTTGAACATTTCAACGAGCTCAGCAGCTTGTTAGTATCACATCTGAGAATTATGTCCGTAAGTTCAAGTTAAGCACAGACTTTGCTTATCTTGTGCGATCTCACTGCATGAAACACAGATTTTTAAACCCCCTGAGGCTCCCAGGTAACACTAGACTTGTGCAAGGAGGAATTAACACGAAGACTCTCGAGCCAGTTTCTGCGAGGAAGTGAAAACTACAGATAAAGATGGTGTTATTCTAGTTTTTTTCTTACTGTCAACAAGCAACCCATGAGAAGACCAACAGTATAATATATATAAATAACTTCTGCTCAGAAATATTTAGTTTTGGTTTTCAAAACTGCTGAACAGCCTCTTAAAACAGCTGCTACCTACACAGGAGTAAACTGCACATGTGTTCAGACTGTTTTCAGCTGCAGGTCAATATACATTTGCTGCTCTGGTGAGTACTTCTGGCAGCAGGATGCTGCAATTTTTGAAGCAATGAAGGAAACATGTAGCTCAATACAACGATGTTACCCACTGGTGTGTTTTAATTGTCTCATAGACACCATTAAAGAAAAACAGAGCATGTCGATACTGTTGTACAGGATGCATTGTTGGGACTTTAACCATCTGAATCCCAAGTAGTTTCTTTCCTTCTGTCTTATTTTAACTCATTGTGGCCTCGTTTTTCACAGCGATATAAAGTCTCTATGGACACAGCAAAACCATGGCTAGAAGTACAGAGAACCTGAAATGTCTTGTGTGCAGTATGACACAGTTATAATCATAAAAAAGAAAGAAAAAAAATTGAATTTCTTTGATTATTTATTTTAGAAAAGTTTAAAAGAAGCTGGAATCAACACGTACAACATTTTTCTAAGTGCCCACAGGTGTTAACAACACTGAAAAAACATATGCTGGCTCTTCATACTACAGATATTTCAATTTTTACATTCTTCATTTGTTCCCATAGTCTTGTCCAATCTGTTCTGTGTAACACTGTCTGCAGTTTAACCCAAATCAATCAAACACTCTCAGATTTTTTGTTATGTGACTATTGGTTACAACTCAGCCATTCATGGCTTCATGTTTGCATCAAAGGAAGAAGAATTTTTTTGTTTTTGCAGAATCTGGTTAAAGCAAACATTGAATTTTTTGGCAATTTTTTCAATGAGACATATAGAATAAATTTTGAAATAAGCTTAGATTTGGTTACGTTTTCCAGTGGAATGGCATGTCACAGAAGAGTAGTTTACCCACAGTCGGAAAGCTGAAAATTTTTTAGTGTCTTATTCTGATAAATGGTGTCATGTTGGCAATTTTTAAAATGATAACCTGCCGTTTGAACCCAGCACTGTGTTTTTGGGGTTTATACGGTCAATGCAATTGGGTAATATTTCCAGACTAATTCCTTAACTTGAAAGCTTAGGTTCTTCTCGTTGTACATGTCAGCGATCAACACACAAAGCGAGACGTACCACGTTACTTTCGTGCACTTCGGGGCTCATGGTCATCTGGACGATGAACCAGGTGGCGTTCCTCAGGATGAAGGCGGTGATGAGGTTCCAGTGGATGATGTTTCTCAGGCAGCGAATGCTCCTGCGGGAAGAAGAGCAGCACAAAGGAGGATAAAGTCAGCCGCTGACATGTTTACGCTGCATTTCTTACATTTTCTCCTGCTGTTCTGTGAGGAAGAAAAAAAGGTCTCATACTGAGAAGAAAGATGGAATCCTAAAATAGAGCATCAGACAAAAGTAAACATGGAGGAAAGCATCTTATTTAAATTTCTCCTCCTGCTGAGTTTGAGTTGAGTTTAGTTCCGAGTTATTCCTCAACAATGAGATCACCCTGAACGTAATCTTGGCAAAGCAGACAATAAGGATGTGAATAATGGATGGTGATGCATCCTAACATTTCCTCCGACTCCCCCAATGCAAATATGACATGAGGCAACATTTCATTCCTGCTGTTTGCACCCTTGCTCGTGTCATGTCCTGAGCGTCTGATGTTTTTTTAATGCTGCAAAGTTAATCGACCTTAGGATACAATTAAAATCCGCCCGTGTGCCTCGGAGCGAGCGCTCGAAAATAGAAACACACACAACCGAATGGACAGAACAAACCAACCTCGGTCACTGGAGCGACAGCCTCGTTTGTTGTCACCAGCTGACGGCATTATCGGCCGGCGGACGGCCGCTTCCTCCTCCGCCAGCCGTGAATGACGTGATTTATTTTTGAAGCGCGCATCAATTCTTAATAGGTGTCACTTGCATTGCTTTTGTGCTGACCGAGCAGATGAGCGAGAAAATTCCATTTGCATTGTGTTATTGTCTGTTTGTCGACCAGGAGGAAAAGCAGCAGCTCCGTTAACACAACAAGCTGCACACGAGTACAGTAATTATAGTATTATACAGAAGTTCACAGAGAAAGCAGCCTTAAGGCTACAAAAACTATATAAATTCATGCTTAATAAGTCGCGTTGTTCCACAAACGGGCCGCTAATTTCCTTCCACTGTGTCACGGTGTTACTGGAGCCTCCATTAGAGTCACAAAGGCGGCGACTGGTGAGCCCAGAGCACATGGAGGAGGTTTTTTTTTTTCAAACAGTCGTATTCATTACGCCGTGTGACCTCCCTTCTGTTGGCGTCCTGCCGGTGGGGTCAGCGTGGCCTGATGGGTTCTAATTAGGAAGAAAAGGCTGAAAACTCCTGCAGACAGGTCTTTGCTGGAGATCCGTTGTGACATCTAACCGCCTTTCTGTTTCTTGTTAAGTAGCAGCAACGTACAATACTATACTTGTTATTTTACTGTATTCTGTATTAAATTATGCACCAGAAGTGACTGCGACCCCTGTGGAGTATCAGCTAAATGTCAAATGATTCCAAACGACAGCTTACAGTAATTGCATTGCTTC